TGTGCGTTCGCGCTGCTCTATGCACGCGCCTTTAGAGCAGCCAGCTCCTCTTTGAGCTGCTTGTTTTCAGCGGCCGTCTTCTTCTCCCTCTCTTCGGTTTCAGCGAGCCTGTTCTTCAGCACGCCAATCTCGTGATCCTTCTGACCACATTCCGTCCGCCACAGGTTGTTCTCTACGAGGAGCTTCTGGTACTTTCGGGATGAGTTCAGCTTGTAGATCGCATCCTGCGGGAAAACGGACGAGGGTTTTCAGGCATTGTCAATGCTGTCGAAATATAAGGGCCGATCAGAGAACTGATGTACTCACAGCGGCTGCAGAGGTGCCTCTGGCTTCACGAAGTTCAATGCCAGCCTTGTGCATGATTGCCACTTTGATGGCCCATTTCTGGAAGAGATGGTGGCGGCAGAGCGGATTCATGTCCGTGTACGGGTGGCGCGGGCACTGGCATGGCCGTCTTGTACCGTCGAAAAGATGGTCGTGATCGGGGCAGTAGAACCACCACATGGCAAGGTCCTGTGCCACGATGTCTCGCCCAGGGTTTGCAAGAGCCTCCAAAAAACTTCTGCCAGAGTGGTGCGGCTTATCCGGATTCTCGCGGTTGTAATTATCGACCTGAGATGGTAGGACAGAGAAGACATTCAGCTCTGCCTAGCGCAACAACTTTAGACACTGCAAAAGGCTGGGTAATCAAGGGGTACCTTTGCCAAATCAGATTCGAGGCGCGGGAAGATGAACAGCTTGAAGAGGTCTTGCAACTGTTTCCACTCGGTGTCGTTGTCGAGTTTAGCGTGCGCTCTGCCGATGTAGTAATCTCCCGGCTCCCCACTGAATCCGGCCATCATCAAGACCGGCCAAAACGGAATGCCCACGACATAGGACTTTCGCATCTCGCCCTGCTCCCAGCCGCCGAGAGCGTTGATGTCGGGGTCGGGACAGCGATCGTCACTCAGGCCTTGGGCTCCCGATCGGCGAAACGCATGGGTCTTTTTGCTAATCCGCCAGGGCGGTCGCGCTACGTCGTTCATGACCCAATTAATCCAGTTGTTGTGAGTCACGTACGGAAGCTCTTCCTGCAGTTGTTCCCTTCCGTGCCTCAATGGGAAGAAAATGTGCTTCTTAGACCACTGAAGGGGGTCGCTGAAGTCCAGTGGCGGAATGATGTCCGCTCCGAATCGCAGTGGCACGAGGTCGTAGACGAAATGAATCCACAGAAAAAGACCACCAACACCGCAGAGCGCGAAGTTGATGTGCCGGGCCAAGAATTGGTGGGTCAGCCTGTTGGTCGCATTCGTCTTGGACTTTCGAGAGGCGAAAACCACCACAGGGAGATCCTTCTGGCGGTCGGGGACGGCCGTGCTGCTACGCGTGTGGCGGACAAACATGTTCGCGAATCGTAGAGCACGAATGCTGCATCCCCTCCCCAACATTTGGTGTGCGAGTTGAATCATCACCTGCACCGCAAAACACCGCCAGAGACTTTCTGATAGTGCAACCCTGGCTCTCTGGTAGCACTCTTTGATCTCCCTCAGAAAGTGCTTCTCGTGCAGGTCCGCGTACTGCTCCGACGTGTAGCAATCGTCCAGAGAGTTTCGGTGCTGATCCTTGCCCTCCCTGCATAGACCAACGTGAAATGTGCTTAGGCATCAAATTTTCGAGAATCTGTTTGGCCATGAAGTGTGTAAATACTCACGCAACCTGCTTGTCGTGCAGCTGTTTCAGCTTGAGCTTCATGTACTCCCGCGATTCGCCGATGTACTCATCTGCTTGGGCCTTCGGGTAGTCGTAGAGTCGAGCTTCAAGTCTACCCAGGAAGCCCAAAGCGCTCATCTTTGCCTTCATCATGCTCGGCGTACTAGGGATGGGCTCCTTTCCAGCCACCACTTCTTCGCCTCTCCGCATCATCTCGGCCTGCGCGGGGGTTTCCTCTGCCATGTACCGCAGGAACCTCTGAATCCTCCATCCAGTAACACGGGGCCCGTGGAGATAAACTTCATCCAAATCCACAGTTGACCACTCCGCCTTTTTGTCGTTCCCCAGATGGCTTCCAACCTCGTCAGGATTCAGCGGGTCCAGACGCTCCGCCGCCGGAACCTCAGTCTTGGGCAGCGTTGACATGAACATGATGACCCACCACTTGTAGTGCAGCCAATACAGGATGTAGTCTTTTCTGGTTTTCGCCGCGAGATAATCGTAGGGGACCTTTGCGCGGCGAATCCTGCTGGCCACGTCGGCCTGTTTTCGAACTGACTCGTGCGTAGCTGATGCTGGCCCATCTGCATTTCTCTGAGGCGCGGCCTGCGATGCTTGCCCCTCCGCATTTCCCTGTGGCGCAACCTGTGGTTCTTGTCCCTCAGCATTTCCCGCGGGCGCAGCCGACGATCCGACACCATGTGCACTTCCATGGGGCGATGCCTCTGATTCTGGGCCGTTCACATTGCCACGGGCCGATTCCACAAAAAGAATTCGACAGGTGGCATTATCTTCAGAGGTTGGGCTTCGGCTAGCATTTTCCTCCCAATTCTCCTCAAACAACGCTCGGTGGGGGTCCTCGTCATCGTCCACGAGATTAATGAACACCCCCCTCGGAATTCCGCCCCTCGGAAATCCGCCCTCGGCCACATTTCCCTCGACCCCGACTTCAGGGTTCGAGGCCGGAAATTCCTCCTGAGCATCCAGGAACACATCGCCCCCAACAGCTGCCTCGAATTCCCCGTCCGCATCGCGGTCCCCGGTTAGATCAATCGGGGCATTGGGCAGTTGGCAGTCTGGAAGATCATGATACTCCTCATTGAGGTCGAAATCGAGAGCTGCGCTAAGAAAATTACCCGTACCGCCTTCGCCCGCCATCACGGTGTACCTGTTTCAGAGGACTCTATGCTCCACATGTGCGCGAAACCTGTCCTGAAAGGGTTATTTTCGACAAGCGAAATCTAAAACGCCTCGTCGGGAATGGGATGGACTGCCAGCAAGCCCAGGAGCATGTTGTGCTGAAAAGAGACTCGTGATCGGAGTTGTTACGGGGAGAATAAACTATGAATGTGACCCTTCTGAGTGGAGAACAATGATGATCTGAAATGGATGTTCAATTTAGAGTTCTTTATGTCAGAATCCCAGCCACTAACCACTGGGATAAAAGGGCTTGTTTGTGTAGCGGGTGAGTGCGCCCATAACCCCCCAGGCCAATATGCCTGTAACCCTTCCCTAGGATCATCGGGGATCTCCAGTGGACCTCTGACACCCCCCCGCACTGGGATGCCCGAGGTGCACACACCGGGATTCGAACCCGAGACCTTCGCTCTGATACCATGTCAGAATCCCAGCCACTAACCACTGGGATAAAAGGGCTTGTTTGTGTAGCGGGTGAGTGCACCCATAACCCCCCAGGCCAATATGCCTGTAACCCTTCCCTAGGATCATCGGGGATCTCCAGTGGACCTCTGACACTTTAGCGTCTCGAAAATGCCCCCATTTTTTAGAGTAGAAAAAAATTCTTCGCTGGCTCAACCCTCGGCGTGTGTGCAACTCTGAAAGAAGCAATCAATCATGCCATGCTGGATTGAAGGTATGGAAGCAAGGAGGGTGATGTTTTCCCCTAACATGTGTTAAAGTTTGAAGGAGGAATCAAGAAATGACATACAACGGAGAGCTATTTAAGCATTCTGGGACTCAGCCACATGAACATGAGCACCACAACCTCTGACTGCATCCCTTCTTCCCGCCACAGCTTCTCTAGATCTGGTCGCCAGGCCCCAGATCTGGGGTTCTTCCCGACTCTGTCAGAGCATTCGATTGGCTGGCTCCTCCACAATGGCGTAACTCTGAGCAACACCCCTCCCGCAGAGAACGAGTAACTCTGCCACGTGGAACACGGTCGGCGCGCAATGTAAAAGAATGTAAATACACTTGATTTTCAATTTAGTTCTATACACCGGTTGGTGTCGAGGTGTGAGATTTTAAAAAACAAGCTTAAAGTGGCTTGGTTCATTTTACGAATCTGTTAAAAATACCATGTCGCGATCGAAAAATCCGGTAAAAAGCTGTCTCCTTGTGGTCCCGAAAGTTTATCACGTTTCCGAAATTTTTAATCATTTGTACTTAAAACCGTATTCTTAAAAATAAACGACTACTACCCTATAACCTGGTGTATAAAAAACAATCGTTTCTCATTATGACACCAAAACAGCTGTTGTTCGTGTTGATGGGTGGACGCAAACTGCAACTGTGTTCGATATATGCAGTGTAGAAAACGTCTGTCGTTATTGAAAAAAACAATCTGCTCGTCTGTCTCTTAGCGAATGGCCAAGGTACATATTGCGTTTCATAATACTGAATTAGGCGGAGGATCGTGCAAATAACGAGCTTGCACCCATGCGGAAGTAGACGTAATCTAGTAAAACGTGTGCAGTTTACCAAATTTCACTGTAAACAAATGTCTAACACGAAGCTCAATATCGAGTTTCTCGATATTGCAGTTTTCACATACTGGTTGCGACGTGCTCGCAGAGATCACGTCGCAACCGTTTGCGCGAAAAGTGCACGTCAATTGACGGCTGCACTTTGACGTTGGCGAGAGCACGTGCTTCGCCAGCTACATTGCACGCACGAATCTGCTCGGGCAGAGCACAGTTTCACGGGCAGGCCGAGCCTAGCCCTTGGGGCGGTGGGGGTTGTCCTACTCGGCGCAAGCTTGCGCCGCTTCCGCTTGGGTCGAGTCCCAGCTCGACCCAAGCAGCTGGACCCACGTTTTTTCCCAGGCAAATCCGCTCGACCAGCGCCAAGAGCAATATAACTTCCCACCAGAACCCGAGTGCGGCTCGGCAACCTCCGTGTGGAGGGGATATTATCCATGGCGGCTTGGCAGAGGTGTTCCAGTACAAGAACCTTAAATATAATGGTGTAGCAATCGCTATGGTTTTATTTTCCTACACAAGCCACTTAACCCCACAATTCTCTATCAAAATAAGGTGGCCAACTCTAACACCATTCCTATGCTCTGCAAACTATGTGAAGTAGATGGACATGGCGTTTGCACGAGCCATTCTCTGCATGATTCAAAGGGATTGGGTAGCAAATATGAATGAGAAAGGACACAAACCATAAGCAAACCGCATGCTGTTAACGTTAATAACCAATCAACCCTCACTTCACAGACAGCGCCATGTGCAAACTGCAAGTGCGGTGTGTCCAAATAGGAGGTTGTAGCGGTGCCAACAAACCCAAAAGTAGCGAGAAATAATTGATTAAGTGTCCTTACCAGGTATAGATATTTTCGATGGTATGTCACTGCCTTCTTGCAGAGCTTCTTAATGTTCCAGCTGGTTGCTGCCAGGTTGAAATACTGGGAAAGGGCAGGAAAGAACCGGCGAGTATAAGTAGGAGGGGAGGAGGAAGGACAGGAATAGAAAGGAGGGAATGCTTTAAATGTGAAATGAAGAAAGCTAGATGTACATCCATCTATCCCGCATACATCATGCATGCCCCTCCCACACAACATTATGCATGTATTATTCCCACACAACATCATGGATGCTAGCTCACTCCACATAGCATGCATGCGTGCACAATATCCATCAATCACATGCACCGCTCAAGCTCACGTGGCATGACATTGAACACATGATGGTCCCACTCACATGCACCATGTCAGCATCACATCATGTAACGTCACATCATGCAACATCACAGCATGCATGCATGCCCCTTTCTCATGCCCCACATACGTCACTCACATGAACTAAATCATACAGCCCCTGAGCATACTGCACTACATCAGGTCCTCCCTCATCCCCAGCAGGATTGCCAGCATGCATGCACACATATACCACACCCATTCACACAATTTACTCTCATGCCCCACATACGTCACTCACATGTACTACATCGTCCAGACCCTGAGCATACTGCACCAGGTCCTCTCTCATCTCCAGCAGAATCGCCAGCATACAACACACCACACATATCCCACATTACTCACATGCCCTAAGTGCCCCACTCACATGCACAACGTCGTCCAGACCCTGAGCATACTGCACCAACATGCACCACGCATACCCCACTCACATTGATCACATGCCCCACCCAAATGCCCCACATGGGTCACTCACATGCACAACGTCGTCCAGACCCTGAGCATACTGCACCAACATGCACCACGCATACCCCACTCACATTGCTCACATGCCCCACCCAAATGCCCCACATGGGTCACTCACATGCACAACGTCGTCCAGACCCTGAGCATACTGCACCAACATGCACCACGCATACCCCACTCACATTGCTCACATGCCCCACCCAAATGCCCCACATGGGTCACTCACATGCACAACGTCGTCCAGCCCCTGAGCATACTGCACCAAGTCCTTGCTCATCCCCAGCAGGATCACCAGCATGCATGCACCACACATATCCCACATTACTCGCATACCCTAAGTGCCCCACTCACATGCACAACATCGTCCAGCCCCTGAGCATACTGCACCAGGTCTTCCCTCATCTCCAGCAGAATCGCCAGAACACAGAAGGTCGTCATTCTCTCTACCTCCACCTCCCCATCCTCCTCCCCGCCCCCCACCAGCACCCCCTCCTCATCCACCTCCCCCTGTGGGGACGGAATCTCAGCCACAGACAGAGCAGGGGACGACAGGTTAGACTCGGTAGGGGACGACGGAGGCTCGGCGGCAGGTTTGGTGACGGAGCTGGGTAGAGGTGCGGACGGGGCGAGGACCATGAGAGGGGGGATGGAGGGCCGCCTGCGGTCCGGGAGTAAGCCCGCGCCTGAAGCCGAGCCTGTGCTTGAGGCTAGGGAGGGAGAGGTTTGGGAGATGGAACTAGGGGTGGAGCTTGGGCTGTCTGTTGCTGTTGCCGCAGTAGCCAGTACTGCTGATGAAGAGGAAGAGGGGGATGATGCCGACGGTGGTGTGGTTGTTGTTGTTGCTGCTGGGGCGGGAAGGGCTGTGGGTGGTGGTGGCAGTACTTTGGGTGGTGTGGAGGAAGAGAGAGGCTTGAAGAGGAACAGGTCCTCTGCACCTACAGCAGGCCCCGCAGGTGAAGAAGGAGCAGCAGGAGCAGCCGCAGCAGAAGCAGGCGCAACAGAAGCAGCAGGTACAGCAGCAGCAGATGCAGCAATAGCAGGAGCAGCAGGAGGAGGAGTCAAGGACAGCGATGGGCTTTGCACCACGCCGAATCCCTGCCACTCCCCATCCACATCTGCCTCTTGCCCCGCTTTCACTCCCTCCCTCTCCCTTTCACCCACTGCTTTGCCCTCCCCCTTCCCCCTCTCCTCTTCAGCTGCTGCTTCACCCGTCGCCAACACCTCTGCTGTCGCTTCTCCCCCACTCACAGCCACCCTTCCATCGAAAATCCCTGCTTCCCTCATGCTCTTCACCCTCTCCTCTGCTACCCCTCCTGACTCTTTCTCCTTCTCCTCCTCCCCCTTTGCCTCCCCTGCCTCCTTCGCCCCCCAAAACCCCGTCCTCCCTTCGTGGCCGCTAGCTCTTCTGTAATGCGTTAGTCTACTTTTATCCCTTTTATCCCGTTCCCCACTTAAGCTCCTTTGGGGGATCCCCAGCCACTCCATCCCCCGCCCACTCTCCTTGTCTGTGTGCCTTCTCTCCCATTCCTTCTCCTCCGCCTCCCCTCGCCCTCCCATCACCCCTCCTGCTTCCCGCGGGAGGCTGTGCCACCCCTTGGCACCCCCTTTCACCGCACTCGACTGCATTGCCGCTCGGTTAGTGTCGTCGAAAATCTTCGCCAGGAACTCTTTAGAAGACGGGGATTTAAGCGCCAGCGGGGATTTTAAAAGATCAGGGGCAACAAACGGTCGTGGAGACTTCATTCCAGTGCTTAGCTCAGGAGGGATTCTGAACGGACCCGGGGATTTTAGCCCAAGGGTCACCTCAAAAGGGAGGGCAAAGGGGACGGAACCCGGGGATTTCGGAGGGTGTTCCGCCCGGGGTGACTTGAGATTCAGGTGTAGTTCAGGGGGAACCTTGAGGTTTAAGCGTCGGAGGGGAGCCTTAAAGATGCTAGCAGGAGAGGGCGGAGAGGCTCCAGACAGAGACCTTGAGTGAGGGAACGAGTGAGGGGGGTGATCGGGATGGTCTTTGCTCGTTTGGGCTCCTCCCCTTTCGTGCATCGACCTGCCTCTGGTTTCATGGGACGCCCTAGCGAGGGACTTGGAGGGTGGGAAGAGGAATGGCACGTCTGTTGGCTCGTCTGGTAGGGCGTCTGGCTCCTCTAAAGCTCGCTCTGGCATGAGATCGACTGAGTCGTCTTGCGTGGGCCCCGTCTGATGCTTCTCTTCATCAGCGCCCACCTCTGCTGCGGAATCGTGTTTTGATTTTGCCCCGTGTTTCGGTTTGCTGCCTGCTGTGCTGCCAGCCATGCTGGGAGGAGAAGGCAGGAAGCGAGGGGATTTAGTGGAGCCTCCCCAGCCGTGCCCGAACATGCTGTCGGATCCCGAACCTGCAGGCTCGGTGCCCGAGCTTGCTGAGCCGACCCTGGGAGATATGGGAGGCAGACCTAGGGGAAAACTGCTAGTGCGAGCAGCAGCAGCAGCACCAGCACTAGCAGCAGCACCAGCAGCACTAGCACCACCACCCATGCTGCTGCCAGCCTGCCTGCGCTTCCCAACTGCAATGGGCAGATCAGCAGGTGAGGCAGGGCGAGCGGAAGCAGCGGCAGAGGAGGGTGAAGGGAGGGAGCGGGAGGGCTTGTGGGAGAAAGTTCCAGGCGACCTGGAAGGCAGGAAGAGAGAGGGCCTTGTATCTGAGCCAGCACCAGCAACAGGAGCAGCAGCACCAGCACCAGCAGCAGCAGCAGCAGCACCAGCGCCAGAGCCAGAGCCAGCACTGGCAGCAGCAGCACCCGTAGCAGCAGCAGCAGCGGATTCAGGGAGCTCAACACAGGGGGGCCTTAGCCGCTGCAGAGGAGCACGCTGATCTTCCTTGCTACCATCCCCCACCCTGCTCTCTTTATCACACTGAGACCCAACAGGTGCAGACTCACCCACTGCAGCAGCACCAGCAGCATCAGCAGCACAGGCAGCAGCGGCAGTACTGACAGAAGGGGCTGCAGAAGAAGCGGTAGCGGCGGCGGCGGCAGAGGCACGTGCATCAGGCGAGTAGGCCTTCCTGGGGGATTGCCCTCGCATGTGCCTCTGACTCCACTCAAGCGTCTCACGCGTGGGCGCAGGCACCGACAGCACCGACACTGACTTTTCAGACGGCTCATACGCTGCAGGTGCAGGTGCAGGAGCAGGAGCAAGTGCAGGTGCAGGTGCAGGCACTGACAGCACCGGCACGGCACGCGAAGAAAACGACAGTGGCGAGTCTCCACGGGTAGGGGCAGACAGCGGCGAGCCTCCATCCACCTCCCGCCGCAGCGCTCCTTCCAGGGCGGGGATCTTGGGGCTACCCATTCGCCCCAGCTCCCTCTGCATTCCCCCCTGGGCGTTTTTCATACTCAGGGGCGTTTTCGGGCTGTCTCTCAGCATGCCCCCCATGGGTGGCCCTAGACTGTCCTGCTGGCCCTTCACGGCCCCAATGGGCGGTTTCGGACTGTCCTTCGTGACCCCGGTGGTTGTTTTTGGACTGTCTTGAGTGCCCTTCAGTGCGCCTATGGGTGCTTTTGGACTGTCTCTCAAGGGGAGAGGCTGCATGCCACGTGATACCAGGTTTAGTGAACCCAAGCTCTCCTCATCGCTCCTTACCCGCCTCACATTCATATTCCCAACTCCTGACGCCGCCGCAGCTGCCACTGCTGCTGCCGCTGCTATTGCTGTTACTCCTCCTTCTCCATCTGCTCCTCCTTCCCTTCCTTCCCTCCGAGCCTCGAAGCTTCTCCTCCGTTTCTGTTCCGACGGCGACCCAAAACTCCCACCCGAACCTCTTCCCGAGCCTAGGTCCGGCTCCGAACCGAAACTCACCCCCCTCCGCAGCTTGTCCCGGCGGGACCTCGCCGAGCGAGAACCGACGCTCCGTGCCGAGCCTAGCGCCTGGCTGCCGTGCCTGTGGAGGCTGGTTCGGGAGGAAGGTTCGCGCAGAGCAATGGTGGCGGCGAACCTAAGATTGTCCCGCCTGTAAGGCCCGGAGTCAGCCCAGGAGAAGGAGCGGGAGAGGGCTCGAGAGGAGAAAGCAGGGGTGGTGGAGGGGTCAAAGGAGGAATCTGCTGTGAAGCTGCGGGTGGCACTGTGGTTGGTACCGCCTGCTCTGCTGAGAGAAGTAGCTGTAGCAGCAGTAGTAGTAGCAGCAGCCGACGTAGGTCCAGCAGAGAAGACTCTAGCGGGACTCCAGTTGCTCATGGCTGTAGCAGCAGCAGCGGTGGCGGTGGCGGCGGCAGCACCAGCAGGAGCGGTGGGCTTATCGCTGTGTTCAGGTGGATCAAGAGCAGTGCTGAAACCCCAAAAGCTGTCGCTACTGCTCTTGACCGCCGCAGCAGAAGCAGCAACAGAGGCAAGAGCAGCAGAGAAGTCGTGAGCAGCACCTGTTGCTGCTTCTCCCACACTCCGATGCTCTCTCATGCTCCTATGGCTTTTCAACTCGGCCAATTGCTGTTCCTGCTTCCACACCAGCGGCAGGTGCAGCGGCCGCAGCAGCATCAGCCCCGGATGCATGCTCTGGTACCTCCTCAGAAACCCGTGCTTCTGCTTCACCTGCTGCAGCTGCTGCTGCTGCTGCTGCTTCTGCCGCTGCTGCTGCCGCTGCACGGCCACCGCTGCTGCCTTCTGTTTCTGCGAGCTGTTTTGCCGGCGGAGGAGGCGCGAGTGGAAGGAAGACGTGGAGGAGGGCTGGTGGTGGGAGGAGAGGGGGAAGGGGAGGTGGGTGCGGGCTCGCTGGGACGGGTGGGAGGGGTGCGAGGGTGGGGCGAGGATGGTGGGGAGAGCATTGACGTCGATGCGGGGGACGTCGAATTTGAGCGAGCCTCCCATGGGTCGCTGCAGGGAGCGGGTGGAGCTTGAAGTATCTCTTCCGGATGAGCTTTCTCTCACGCTGCTAGAAATATTCCCCTTGTTGCTCATGCTGTTGCCGCTGGTAGCGGCGCTGATGTTTGGAATTTTCTTCTTTCTCTCTGTGTCCATTGATTGGTACCTGCGCAGCGGGAGCGGCGGCCGATCCTGACCGTCAATCTGCAGCTGCCCTCCAGCTGGAAAATCAGCACCGTTGCTTCCTCCTCTGCCATCCACCTCCTCACCTCCGGTCCTTCCCATGCTCTCTCCTCTCCTCTCGTCCCCATCCTCCTCCCTCCTCTCCCCATCCTCTCTCTCACTCCATCGGCCCTTCCGAGCAGCAGCAGGAGGCGGCTTCCCTACGTCGAACCCTGCCCTCCCATACCCACTCCTGGCCAAACCCCCTTCCCTACCACCCCCACCATCCCCCTCTCTCCGTTCTCTGCCCTCTCTCCCCTCCCCTCCCTCTCGTCCTTCTCTTCCAGCTGCACTCTCCTTCCAGTCTCCCCCCGAAACCGACCGCACAATCCGCCCCCTCCCCTCGCTCCTCCCCTCACTCCTCCCCTCACTCCGCCCCTGCTCCACACAGCTCCCTACCCCTCCTCTCAGAGCCGCCCGCCTCCGAGCCTCGAGCTGCTGACTCGTGGGCAGGCGCTCATCCGGAGGAAGGTCCTTAGACGGATCAAAGGCCACTCGGGAGGAGACGGCTGATAGATCCAGCACTGTGTCTTCCGCGTTGCTGCTGCTGTGCCTGTGTCCGGAGGCGATCGGAGGAGAGGAGGCAGGGAGGGGCGGGCGGGTGGTGGTGCTGCTGCTGCTGCCCATGACGTGAATGGTGATGCTGCGTGTGAAGCCAAACAACCCGTCTAATAGCCCCTCACTGCTGCTGCCCGCTGCTGCTGCTGCCGCTGTAGGTTCTGCCGCTACAGCTGCTGACAAAACTGCTGCTGCTGCTGCTGTTGTGGCTGCTGTGCCATCAGATCTGGTGTTCGAGTGTGTTGAGGCCATGAAAGTTTCACGAGCATGTGTGCGGGTGTTGCTGGTGTTGCTGGTGGTGGTGGTGCCGCTGGTGGTGATGCTGTGAACGTGTGTCAGCTCACTGGCAGAGTGGCTTTGATGCACTCTCCTACCACCGCCCACCCTCTCCTCGCCCTCACTGGCAGCACCAGCGCTAGCCGCAGCTGCTACAGGAGCCGCAGCAGGAGGAGGAGGATGATGAGCAGGAGGAAGAGGGGGAAGGGGGGATTCGTCCTTCTTGCCCCACAAGAAGGGAGCAGCAGCAGGAGCAGCAGGAGCAGCAGGGTCATCCTTCCTTCCCCACAAGAGGGGAGCAGTAGCAGGAGGAGCAGGAGAGGCAGGAGCAGCAGCGTCGTCCTTCTTGCCCCACAGCGACCGCATGCGGCCAAATATGGACGAATCATTGCCACCTGACGCACCCCACAGGCCTCCAATCGCTCCCCCTGCTGTGCCCGTGCCTGCCCCTCCTGGCCCTCCTCCTGCCCCTTCACCTACCCCTCCTTCCACTCTTCCCCCTCCCACTGCTGCTCCTTCCCTTCCCACTGCTGCTCCTGCACCTGCCACCTCTTCAGCTTCCTTCTCTTCCTCCTCCCACACTCCCGCTATCCTAGCTGCTTGCTGAGACAGGCGCCTATCCCTCCCCCACTCTCCCTCCTCCTCCCCCTCACTCTCTCCCCCTTCCTCCCCCTCCCCCTGTGCTCCCTCCCTCTCCTCCTCTGACCCATACCCCATATTCCCCTGATCCTCCTCCCCACTCTCACCTTCTAAGTCACTGCCCTGACTCTCACTCCTACTTTCACCCTCTCTCTCCTCGTCCTCTTCACTCTCACTCCCTTCATATGCCTCCTCATCCCCGTCCTCCCCTTCCCACCCCTCCTCACCCTCCTCCACCCCTCCATCCTCCTCCCACTCCTCAGGAACAACAAACTCCCTCCCACCCACTCCCCCACCCTCTTTCCTCCCCATAAGAGCCCCAGACGCGGGGGTATCAGGCACAGCATGAACAGCAGCCTGAGTCACAGCCAGCTCGGCAGCCATAAGAGCAATCTCCAGCCTCTGTGGGGACGAAAACAGGTCCACAGAGCATCGATCCGCATCCTCGTGCGGCGCTGCAAACGCCGACGAGCCGCCGCTGCCAGCAATGCTGCTCGCAGTACCCACCGAGCCAGACGCATACGTCGAAAGCGAACCCCCACCACCACCGCTGCCACTGCCGCCGCTGCTGCTGCTGGTAATGCTCGCAGCACCGCCAGCACTGGAGGCACCAGCGCTGGGAACAGCAGAGAGGGGCACGCGGGTGGCATTGGCGATATCCACAGCGATAGCTGTGAAGAGATCGGCGTCGAGTAGGACGGACGCCGCCGCCCGGACGGCAGCGGCGGTGGCGGCGATGTAGGCTTGGCGTTCCATGGTGAGGTGTGGCAGGTGGCGGGCCGTGTGGAAAATGGCTTGGTCTGCTAGAGGGAGGAGCGCTGCACTGCACGCGTCATAGTCCCACGCCCACATCATCTGACAGGGAGGAGGGATTGGGGGGGGTTGGGGGGGGGGGGAGAAGACTCCTTCTCGTTCGTGATCTTGAGTCTAGACACTCGCAGACATCTTTCCCCTTGCAACCCTCCCTCCCATGGCCGGCCGGATCCTCCTCCCGCATTAGCGTTCCGCGCATGGAGCACCTCGGAGGTTTATCAGGGCACAAATGGCCTTCCCAGCGCGCAGTTTTTGAGACGTCTCAAAAACATGGAGCACCTCGGAGGTTTATCAGAGCACAAATGGCCCTCCCAGCGCGCAGCTCACAGTCACCTCGCAGAATCAACATTTCCTGAGGCCCGTACGTCACATACCCCCACGGTCAGTCAGTGCCTCAGTGGCTCAGTGGCAGTTCCTCAGTGGCGCAGTCAACTCAAAAGTCACCTTGCAGAATCAACGTCTCCTGAGGCGTGTACGTCACATACCCCCACGGTCAGTCAGTGCCTCAGGAGAGCAGGCAGGCAGGCATCGATGAGGGCTCACCTCCCAGAGGTAGAGTGCGTCAGCGAAGGAGAGCTCGCGACGGAACATGGCCATGACAGTGCGGACTGTGAAGAACATGGTGCCTGCTCCTATCTCGTCTGGGGGAAGGGGAGGGAGAGGTGGGGGGTGGTGAGACAGGGAACATGCCCGATGGAAGGTCAGTTCTCAACAAGCACATGGCCATGACTGTTCGCTCCGTGAAGAACATGGTGCCCGCTCCTATCTCGTCTGTTGAGGTGGTAGGGGGTAGAGAGGGAGATGCAAGGGGGAGACAGGGAGCATGCCTTGATGACAAACAGCTCGCGGCGGAACATGGCCATGACGGTGCGCACCGTGAAGAACATGGTGCCGGCGCCTGACGGAGGAACTGAGGGAGGAACTGAGGGAGGGAGGAACTGAGGGAGGGAGGAACTGAGGGAGGAACTGAGGGAGGGAGGAACTGAGGGAGGAACTGAGGGAGGGAGGAACTGAGGGAGGAACTGAGGGAGGAACTGAGGGAGGAACTGAGGGAGGAACTGAGGGAGGAACTGAGGGAGGAACTGAGGGAGGGAGGAACTGAGGGAGGAACTGAGGGAGGGAGGAACTGAGGGAGGAACTGAGGGAGGAACTGAGGGAGGAACTGAGGGAGGAACTGAGGGAGGGAGGAACTGAGGGAGGAACTGAGGGAGGGAGGAACTGAGGGAGGAACTGAGGGAGGAACTGAGGGAGGAACTGAGGGAGGAACTGAGGGAGGAACTGAGGGAGGAACTGAGGGAGGAAGGAACTGAGGGAGGGAGGAACTGAGGGAGGAACTGAGGGAGGAACTGAGGGAGGAACTGAGGGAGGAACTGAGGGAGGAACTGAGGGAGGAACTGAGGGAGGGAGGAACTGAGGGAGGAACTGAGGGAGGAACTGAGGGAGGGAGGAACTGAGGGAGGAACTGAGGGAGGAAGGAACTGAGGGAGGGAGGAACTGAGGGAGGAACTGAGGGAGGAACTGAGGGAGGAACTGAGGGAGGAACTGAGGGAGGAACTGAGGGAGGAACTGAGGGAGGAACTGAGGGAGGGAGGAACTGAGGGAGGAACTGAGGGAGGAACTGAGGGAGGAACTGAGGGAGGAACTGAGGGAGGGAGGAACTGAGGGAGGAACTGAGGGAGGGAGGAACTGAGGGAGGAACTGAGGGAGGAACTGATGATAGAATTCAAGAATGGTTGAGTAATGAGCCAAGGAGGCTCTATAGTACAAGCATGCAAGGAAGAGAGGTTGGAAGAAGGTGCAACCCTATTGGCCACTAAGTTGGCCAATGGGTGAGTTGCCTTGTGGAGTAGGGAACCCCACAATGTTGCTAGCTTGTGATTGGTTGGCCTTAGGACCAAATGTTGGCAAGTGCCAACCAAGGACCAAGACCAAACCAAATCTTGACCCAACCACAAAGTGTGGTTGGAGTGTACACCCAACCCCCCAATGGCTTAAAGAGCTACACCTATTCTAGCCTATGTATTCTGTATATATAAGATACATTTACAACACAACCCCCCAACATGCATAAGGCTAGAAAAAATGTAATCAGGAGGCCGCCAAAACTGGTGGCGGGGTGAGCCCAAGGAGACGCAACAGGAAGGAGTGGGACGCTAGGGGAAGAGCTTTGGTGAAGATGTCGGCGAGGTTGGCTGCCGAGTCGATTTTGCCAAGACGAATGTGGCCGGCCTCAACGAGATCGCGAATGAAGAAGTAGCGAAGCTCAATATGTTTTGAGCGCCCATGATACACAGCGTCCTTGGTGAGGTGGATGGTGCTGGCGTTGTCACACCAGATGGTGGGACAGCGTTGGGGGGCTCCGAGCTCATCAAGGAGGAAGGTGAGCCAGCGTGCTTCTTGCGCGGCCATGGTCGCAGCATAGAGCTCTGCTTCGCAGGAGGAGAGGGCGACGGCAGAGGAGCGTGTGGACCGCCAGCTGATGAGACCGCTGCCGAGGGAGAAGCCATAGCCCTGAGAGGACCGCCGATCCGGTCGAGAATCAGCCCAGGAAGAGTCGCTGTAGCCGTTGAGGTGTGGTGGGGAAGGGCCGCCAAGAGTGAGGACATAGTCCTTGGTGCCACGAATGTAGCGAAGGACACGCTTGGCGGCCTGCCAGTGCTCTTCCGTGTGCTTGCCAGCGCCAACGAACCGAGCGAGGACGCTGATGGGGTAGGCAAGATCGGGGCGAGTGGAAACCATGGCGTACATGAGAGAGCCGATGAGTTCCGGATAAGGATGGGAGGAGGGAGAGGGAGAGGAGGGTGGGGAGAGGTGGTGCCCAACCGAGAGGGGAGTGGGCTGGGGGTTGCCGCGCGCCATGTCAAACCGGTCCAAGACCTGCTGGAGGTAGTGACCCTGAGAGAGTGAGATGGTGCGGGCGGAGCGGTCGCGAGTGATGGTCATGCCGAGGTAGTTCTGCAGCTCTCCCAGGTCTTTGCACTTGAGACGGCTGCCCAGCTCCGCCTTGACAGTCTCGAGCTCGGCAAGGTCGGCGGTGAGGAGGATCATGTCGTCAACATAGACGAGGATGTAGAAGGGGGAGGGAGAGGTGCGGAGGAAGAGGCTGGCGTCAGAGCGGGAGGTGCGAAAGCCAAGCTCAGCAAGGGTGGCAGCAAGCTTGGCATGCCACTCCCTGGGTGCCTGACGGAGCCCGTACACGGGTCGGCGCAGCTGCCAGACGGAGTCGGCGGGGAAGGGGAGGTGGAAGCCGTCTGGGCGCTCCATGTAAATGAGTTCACGTAGTACGCCTTGCAGGAAGGCGTTGGAGACATCCATCGAGTGGATCTCCATGTTGAGGCGAGCGGCGAGGTCGAGTACAGCGCGAACGGTAGCAGGTTTGGCGGTGGGGGAGAAGGTGTCGAAGAAGTCAAAACCATACCGCTGCGTGAAGCCCTTGGCGCAATACCGGGCCTTGTAGACGGGCGGTTCTCCTGGTAGCTGTTTGACGCGAAACACCCACTTCCCCTTTACCACGTTCGTAGAGGAGGGAGGGCGAGGGACATCAACGAAGGAGGAGTTGGCGATAAATGCCTCGAGCTCCTTGATGATGGCGGCAAGCCAGAGCGGGGCGTCGGGGCAAGCCATGGCCTCCTCGTACGTGGTTGGGACGAAGATGGAGGGAGCAGAGGAAAAGGCGAAGACTGGTGTTCCAGACAGGTCAAAGGTGATGGGGAGGAGGGAGGGGTCGGAAAGGTGGAGGTCAAGGAACTCCTCATGGGAGTCCTCAGAGAGGGAGGTGTGGAAGGCGCGGATAACCGCTGGGGCCGCTGCTCGTGCCGCTGCTGGTGCCGCTGCTGGTGCCGCTGCTGGTGCCGCTGCTGGTGCCGCTGCTGGTGCCGCTGCTGGTGCTGCTGTGGAGGCCGCTGCTGCCGCTGCACTTGCCGCTGCTGGTGCCGCTGCTGCTGCTGCACCTGCCGCTGCTGGTGCCGCTGCAATGGCTGCTGCTGGAGGTGCTGCTACCGAGGATGGGGAGGTGGTCGAGGAGGCTGGTGCAGGAGAGGCGTGGTGTAAGACAGCCTGGAAGAAGTGGTGAAGGAGGGGAGAAAGAGGGGGAAGGGAAGAGGTAGAGAGGGTAGGGAAGAGGTAGAGAGGGTAACAGGGGGCGGTGCACCAAGGATACTGTCACATGACCTGGTGTGAGGATACCGGGTGAGTATGGTGCGGGGAGTGGGGGAGGGAGGTGGTTGGGAGGGAGGGGGAGGGGCACCGGGGGAGGAGTGGGCGGGGGAGACAGGGGAAGATAGAGGGTCCGGGTCAAAGATGTCACCAGACGAGGGAGGGGCACCGTGGGACTGGGAGGGCGGAGGGGGAGGGGGTGGGAGGATGGGGGGAGGAGGGAGGAGAGGGGGAGGGGTGGTGTCAGACCAGACAAGGGGACGGGTCAGAGGTGGGAGTGGGTCAGTGGACGGGGGAGAGGAATAGTACGGGGTGGACTCGTCAAAGACGACATCTCTGCTGCGAATTAGTCGACCGGAAGGGGGGTGGAGGAAAAGGTAGTCGGGGGAGGAGGGGTTATGACCAAGGAAGACGCAAGGAAGGGTACGAGGGGCAAGCTTTCCAAGGGAGCGGGATCGGTCAGACGGGTGAATGAGGACATAGGCCTTTGAGCCCCAGACTCGAAGAGGGGAGACATCGGGTTTGTCCTTTGTCCATAGCTCAGTGGGGGTGGTGGAGGGGAGGAGGGGGTGAGGGTAGAGGTTAGTAAGGAGGGCGGCATGAAGGAGGGCGTAGCCCCACAGAGAAGGGGGGCATGAGGCGTGGACAAGAAGACACCGAGCCGTTTTGGTGATCTCCCGAACACGGCTCTCAGCGACACCGTTCTGCTGTGGGGAGTGAGGGAGGGTGTGAGTCTGGAGAATGCCGCGGGACTGGCAGTAGGAGGAAATTTGGGTATTAAGGAACTCACCACCACCATCAGAGTGGAGGCGACGAACAGGGCGGCCAAAGTGGGTGTTGGCTTGCTCGAGCCAAGCAATGATCGCGGTCGGGGCATCCGCCTTCGTCCGAAGGAGAGAGACGGACGAGTACCGACTGTGGTCATCGACGAGCACGAGGAGGTAGCGATGGCCTTGGCGAGTGGGGGAAGGGTTAGGGCCCCAGAGGTCCATGTGAACAAGATCAAGTGGCTGAGCAGCAGCGGAGGGGGAGCTCCGGTGCGGCTGCTGCTTGAGCTTGCTCTGAACACAGACGACGCAAGGGGGGGCAGGGGACTTTGGGAGGGGAGGGAGGGAAGAGGGGAGACCGTGGAGGAGACCGGAGGATACAGAGGAGCGCAGAGTGGCGAAGTTGGGGTGACCTAGCCTGTGATGGAGGAGGATGGCAGGGTGGGAGAGGGAGCAACATGAGCAGTCAGAGTCAGGGGGGCGAGGGGGGACGGGTGGGTTAGTGGAGGGGAGGGGAGGGGGGGGGGGGAAGAGGGGGGGGGAGGCAACTTGGAAGGTGAGGGGGCGAGGAACTCGAAGGGTGTATAGACGGGTGCGGGGACAGTAAGGAATACGGGCGAGGAAACGACCTGTGGAGGTGTGGTAGAGATCACAATGGTTAGCACCACCTGGGGTGAGAGTGGTGATCATGGATTGTTGGAGGGACCTTTGGGAGAGGAGGTTGGTGCGAAGGGAGGGAATGTGAAGACCTGTGACAGTACCTGAGGGAAAGAGAGGACAGGGAAGGGTGGAGGTGTTGTGACAGGGGATGGAAAAGCTGCTATCAGCGCCAAGGAGGGACGTGGATGTGGGAAGAGGATTGAGTTTGCCGGCATCTCGAAAGACATTATCAGTGGCTCCACTGTCCAAGACGAACTCAAGGGTGGAGGAGGGTGAGGCGGAATACTGAATTGAGGTTTCATTAATAGCAGGGGCATACATAGGAGATGCAACAGAAGGAGGCTGACTAAGGAGACCAACAAAGCCAGAGGAGGGAAAGGGGGTCACACTGCCACCTGTGGACGGCGCAGGGGATGGACCGGAGAGGTGGGCCGCAGAGGCGGCATTTCCGGCGGTCCAGCTGGGAAACGGCTGCTGCTGGGGGATAGGAGGAGGGAGGAGAGGAAGTTGGGGCTGGAGGTCGAGCTGCTGCTGGAGCTGCTGAAGCTGCTGCTGGAGCTGCTGGAGCTGCTGCCCATACTGCTGCGGTCCCTGCTGCTGGACACTCTGCTGCTGCTGCTGCTGCTGCTGCTGAGAGGGGAGAGCAAAGGCCTGGTGGGCCTGGGAGGAGGAGGAGGGGGCGTAGAGGGGAGAGGTGCGAACATCGAGGGGAGTGGGGCGGGGATTAAGGGCGGACCAGCGAGGAGGGGTGCCAGAGTTCCCACGAGCGAACCACTCATCGCTGAGTGCCTTGAAGCACGTGTCAGTTGCATGAGTGGTTTGGTTGCAGCGTTGGCCTCGGGTGGGGCCATAGAGGGGAAGATACTGACAGGGTGGGAAGGCCGCTGCTGCCCCACGACCCGCACCACCACGACCGCCAGAGCCGCCTCGACCACCACCACGCCCACCTCCACGCCCTCCCCCACGTCCGCCCTTGCCGCTGCGCTGCTGTGCTACCGCGGCAGTGGAGGAGGAGTGGCGAAGGATTTCAGCCTCAGTGGTGATAATCCACTGGGCAACTTGAGCGGGAGTGTCATGCTTGGAGAGGAGTTGCATGTATGCGAGCTTGTGGGCATCGAAGGCGGGAGTGAGGCCTTCGAGGAGGTGGCAGCAGATGACAGTGTCAGGGTAGGTAACGCCAAGTGCTGCAAGGCGGCGAGCAAGGTCAAGGACGCGGCGAGTAAAGGCGGCTGCGCCGGCAGTGGAATCCATGGTGATGGATCCAAATTCCTTGATGAGGGCATAGAGGGTGGCGATGTCCTGCCGGTCAAAGAGGTCGACAAGCAGTTGCCACAGGTGGGAGGAGGAGGTAGGTGAAAGCTCTCGTTTGAGGGAGGAGGGGATAGTGGCGAGGAGGATGGCGAGAGCTCGACGGTCAGCAATGCGCCACGCAGCGATGTCGGTGGTGTAGCTGGCGAGACGTGTAGTGTACGTGGCGAGTCGAGCTTGGTAATCGCGGTGGCGGGCAGCAGCCTCGTCGTAGGCGCGCTTGTCGTCCTCATAGCGCAGTTGACGGCGAAGGTGGTCGTTGAGTGCGGTGCGGTAGGTACGGATGGCAGTTTCCATGCTCTGAGGATTGTTGACATCCGGCGCGAAGGTGGGAGGATCACCAGGAGGCTCGGGCTCAGGTCCGGGCTCGTCAGGAGGAGGTCCGGTGGGGGCGGAAGGGGCGATGGGCTGGAGTCCGCCTTCCTCCTGGAACACGACGGAACGGAGGGTATATCCGCTGACGACAACCGAGGAGAGCAACACCTCGACGGAGTGGGCATAAGAGTGCCAGTTGGCGGCCGAGTTGTCGCCCAACAACTCGAGAGAGTCAATGGTCGCCAGGTCGACCGATGAGTCTGCGGACGCCATGATGGCGAAGTCGGGAAGGTGCCGCTGCTGGTGCCGTTGAAGGTGCCGCTGCTGGTGCCGTTGAAGGTGCCGCTGCTGGTGCCGTTGAAGGTGCCGCTGCTGGTGCCGTTGAAGGTGCCGCTGCTGGTGCCGTTGAAGGTGCCGCTGCTGGTGCCGTAACAGGGTGGCGCTGCTGGTTTAGGGTTAAAGGTGCCGCTGCTAGGTGCTGTTGCTGTTGCGATTAAGGGTGAAGTAGGGGGGGGGAGGAGGTAGGGGAGAGGGAGGATGGCGCGGAAGTGTGGGGCAGGGCGCGGATGAAAGGGAGGAGGTCGCGCAGGTCAGTCGCGGCGGCGCGTCGGCCGCCCGTGAGAGCGCGAGGGTCGGCCGCGGCTCTGCGTCGGCCGTCCGCGTCAGCGCGAGGGTCGGCCGCGGCTCTGCGTCGGCCGTCCGCGTCAGCGCGAGGGTCGGCCGCGGCTCCGCGTCGGTCGTCCGCGTCGGCGCGGAGGTCGTCGGCGATCGCGCGGCGGCCGTTCGGGATGGCGCACAGGTCGGCCGCGACTCCGCGCTGGCCGTCCGCGTCGACGCGCGGGGTGCTCGTGGCCGCGCGCTGGCCGTCCGCGACGGTTCGCTAGCCGTCCGCGACGGCTTGCTGGCCGTCCGCGACGGCTTGCTGGCCGTCCGCGACGGCTTTCTGGCCGTCCGCGACGGCTTTCTGGCCGTCCGCGACGGCTTGCTGGCCGTCCGCGACGGTGTGCTGGCCGTCCGCGACGGAAGGCGTGAGGGAGGGGTGGCGGCGGGAGGGAGGATTGAGGCCGCGGGAGAGCGGTCGGAGGCCGCGAGAGGGAGGATTAAGGCCGCGGGAGGGAGGATTGTGGCCGCGGGAGGGAGGATTGAGACCGCGGAGGAGTAGATCTGAGCCGCGGAAAGCTAGATCTGAGGTACGGGAGGGAGGATTGAGGCCGCGGGAGGCTAGATCTAAGACGCGGAGAGGAAATTACGGCCTAAGGATCGAGGGAGGTGGCGTGAGCCATTTGGCTCTGAATACCATGATAGAATTCAAGAATGGTTGAGTAATGAGCCAAGGAGGCTCTATAGTACAAGCATGCAAGGAAGAGAGGTTGGAAGAAGGTGCAACCCTATTGGCCACTAAGTTGGCCAATGGGTGAGTTGCCTTGTGGAGTAGGGAACCCCACAATGTTGCTAGCTTGTGATTGGTTGGCCTTAGGACCAAATGTTGGCAAGTGCCAACCAAGGACCAAGACCAAACCAAATCTTGACCCAACCACAAAGTGTGGTTGGAGTGTACACCCAACCCCCCAATGGCTTAAAGAGCTACACCTATTCTAGCCTATGTATGTTGTATATATAAGATACATTTACAACAACTGAGGGAGGAACTGAGGGAGGAACTGAGGGAGGAACTGAGGGAGGGAGGAACTGAGGGAGGAACTGAGGGAGGGAGGAACTGAGGGAGGAACTGAGGGAGGAACTGAGGGAGGGAGGAACTGAGGGAGGAACTGAGGGAGGGAGGAACTGAGGAAGGAACTGAAAGAGGAACTGAGGGAGGAACTGAGGGAGGGAGGAACTGAGGGAGGAACTGAGGGAGGAACTGAGGGAGGGAGGAACTGAGGGAGGAACTGAGGGAGGGAGGAACTGAGGGAGGAACTGAGGGAGGAACTGAGGGAGGAACTGAGGGAGGAACTGAGGGAGGAACTGAGGGAGGAACTGAGGGAGGAACTGAGGGAGGAACTGAGGGAGGAACTGAGGGAGGAAGGAACTGAGGGAGGAACTGAGGGAGGAACTGAGGGAGGAACTGAGGGAGGAACTGAGGGAGGGAGGAACTGAGGGAGGAACTGAGGGAGGAACTGAGGGAGGAACTGAGGGAGGGAGGAACTGAGGGAGGAAGTGAGGGACTGAGGGAGGAACTGAGGGAGGAACTGAGGGAGGAACTGAGGGAGGAACTGAGGGAGGAACTGAGGGAGGAACTGAGGGAGGGAGGAACTGAGGGAGGGAGGAACTGAGGGAGGAACTGAGGGAGGGAGGAACTGAGGGAGGAACTGAGGGAGGAACTGAGGGAGGAACTGAGGGAGGAACTGAGGGAGGAACTGAGGGAGGGAGGAACTGAGGGAGGAACTGAGGGAGGAACTGAGGGAGGAACTGAGGGAGGGAGGAACTGAGGGAGGAACTGAGGGAGGAAGGAACTGAGGGAGGAACTGAGGGAGGAACTGAGGGAGGAACTGAGGGAGGAACTGAGGGAGGGAGGAACTGAGGGAGGGAGGAACTGAGGGAGGGAGGAACTGAGGGAGGAACTGAGGGAGGGAGGAACTGAGGGAGGGAGGAACTGAGGGAGGGACTGAGGGAGGAACTGAGGGAGGAACTGAGGGAGTATACACTCAAACAAGTGTATGCAAGCAGAGAGCTACATCACACACTCACCCAAGTGAGCATGCAGCTCGGGGTTGAGAGTGTAGACCATGTGGGAGAGGGAGGTGGGGGAGTGTGCATGCAGTTCGCATAAGCGTTTGCAAACACACTCACCCAAACACACACTCACCCAAACACACACTCACCCAAGTGAGCATGCAGCTCAGGGTCGAGAGTGTAGACCATGTGGGAGAGGCGGCTGATCTCCCTCTGAATGCCCAGGCCCGTGTCCGTGTTCATGAAGTCCTCCCTCTGGGGATGAAAACATAAAAAAACGGTGAAGAATATGCAAGAGATGCAAAAAGGATCATGAGGGTGCTCCCACAGGCTGATCTCCCTCTGAATGCCCAGCCCTGTGTCCATGTTCATGAAGTCCTCCCTCTGGTGGCCAGACGAAGAAACAGGGGTAAAGGTGCAATGTCCTGACGGTGCAATGTCCTGAGGGTGCTTCCACAGCCCCTCTGAATGCCCAGCCCCGTGTCCGTGTTCATAAAGTCCTCCCTCTGGTGGTCAAAAGTAATCACAGGAGTGAAGACGATGCAAGAGATGCAAAAAGAGTCAAGAGGGTGCTATCCAGGCTGATCTCCCTCTGAATGCCCAACCACACCATGCCACACACCCAACCGCCCTTCTGCCAACCACACCAGACGCACTCACCACTCTGCGCATGAGCCTTTCGAAAGCCCAGAAGGCATCAGCATCATCCTGGTACAGCACGACCATGGGCGACATGAGGTCGCTCATGCCCTGGCAGTACCCCACCTCGGGGTCGAACCATGCGTACACCGCCAGCACGTTCATTAGGCGGGCGCGGCTGCGACTGCTCTCAAAGAAAAGCAGGGAGCGATCGGCTCTTGTGACATCCACTCCTGTAGGGGAGGGGAGATGGGATGGGAGAAGCGGGGTGGCAGAAAGCGGGGGTTGGAGGGGTGGAAACACGCGTACACAGAGGTCGCTGTCGCTCATGCCCTGGCACTGCCAGGCTGGCAGTACCCCACCTCGGGGTCAAACCACGCGTACACCGCCAGCACGTTCATCAGGCGGGCACGGCTGCGACTGCTCTCAAAGAAGAGCAGGGAACGATCGGCTCTTGTCACGTCTACGCCTGCAGTGAGAAGAGGGTGGGGGAGGGGGGCGGGAGGGGGAGAGGGGCGTGGGGAGGGGATGGGGGAGATGGGAGATGGGGGAGTGGATGGGAAAGGGGTTCAGGAGGCGATCTAGGAGGAGAGGAGCACTTTGGAAGGGGGTGATGGAAGAGGTCTCAGGAGAAGATGTGGAATAATTGGAGCCGGGATCAGTGACAGATGGTGGGTGGGGTGAGGATAGCGCTAAGGGTGGGGGGAACAGCGAAGGGAGATTCTATTCCAGGCCAGCCTATCTCAGTTCTCCTGAATACCGACCTATTTGGTAGAGTCCATGGCGCCACTTGTGTATTCGGTCCAGCCCCACGCGTGCCACCACCTCTGCCCTCTCCGCCGCCCACGTCCTCATTGCCTCATCCACTGCCGTCTCACTCGCCCTCCGCCCCCTCCTCTTTCTCCCACCGCCACCGCCACTGCCACTGCCACTGCCACCAGCATGACGACGACCACCGCGACCACTGTCACTTGTACCTCCCTCCACTTCGCCTTCTTCCTCCTCCTCTTCCCCCTCTCCCTCCTCCTCCCCCTCTTCCAGCACCCCCAGCTGCGCTCCGGTTTCCTCCCAGGCGGTGTCCAGGGGTGGGATGGGCGGCACGAGGCGCAGAGGGCCCGTGTACGAGTCCGGGAGATCGACCTCTGTGCCATCGTCCTGGGGGAGGAGGTGGGGGATGGGAGATGGGAGATGGGAGAGGGAAACAAGGGGCATGAGGGGAGAGGGGTGGGATGGGCGGCACGAGGCGCAGAGGGCCCGTGTACGAGTCCGGGAGATCCACCTCTGTGCCATCGTCCTGGCAGGTGGGCATTGGGGATGGGGGAAACGGGGGTTATGGGGAAGGGGAAAGAGAGATGCTCAGGAGGCAGAGGGGTAGCAGGCCGACGTAGGAGACTGGGAGATCAACCTCAGAGCATTGCGGAAAGGAGGGATAAAGGAGGAATGGGGGGTCGGTGGGGGGAGGAGTGAGGGGTGGGGAGCATACGCCTTCCCCTCCTCTCCTCTGTCATGCACCCATCTCCATACCTCTCTCCATCGCCCTTCACCGCTCTGTACCCACCTGCACTTTAGGAAAGTCAACCACGAAGCCATTGCCAATGACCGGGTCCACGAGCTGGCACTCCTTGAGCATCGCTGCATACGCCTCCCTCCTCCTACTCAGTCATTCACCCACGTCCATCCCTCTCCACCCCTCTCCACCACTCTCCACCAATCTGCAATGCTCTTCACCACTCTGCACCCACCTGAACCCTGGGGAAGTCAACCACGAAGCCACTGCCAATGACCGGGTCCACCAGCTGGCACTCCTTGAGCATTGCAGCATACGCCTCCCTGCGCATGCTCCTCAGCTCGCCACACTCGCCACTCGTGGCTGCCGGGCTGACCAGCCCCAACAGATACTCCCACACCTCTGGGCGAATGCCCGGTTCACAACCCTGAGGGATTGGGATACAACAGGGAAATGCGAGGAGGATAAGGGTTTGAAAGAGAAGCATATGGCTCCCTACTCATGCCCCTCAGCTCACCGCACTTGTGGCAGAAGGGCTCACCAGTCCCAGCAGGTACTTCCACACCTCCCTTTGACAAATGCCCAGCTCACAGCCCTGAAAAGGTTGGGTTGCCGGGAGAAAAACAGGAAGGGAGAAACCAAACCAGAGGGGGACTCCAGGCACTCGTTGCTGCTGGGTTGACCTTGACCAGCCCCAGCAGGTACTCATTCCCACACCTCTTCATATGGCACATACCTCTCAGCATGGCACATACATACTTCACGCTGCATGAGGTGGAAATCAGACTCCAGGTTGACCATGCGAGGTGAATAACGAAGCCCAAGCAGCACACCAAATCCATCCTTGAGAGCACTCGAGCAGCTGAGCAAATATATATGCCCCCTCATCATGACACATACATACCCCGCGCTGTATGAGGCGCAGAGCAGCCTCCAGGTTCACCATGCGCCCCTCGGCGTCAAACATGTCGTTCCACTTCTCCTCCGACAGCCGCTTGCTCGCCTGCATTACACAGCCGTGCCATGCCATGCCATGCCATGCAATGCCATGCCATGCCATGTCATGCCATGCCATGCCATGCCATGCAATGCCATGCCATGCCATGCCATGCCATGCAATGCCATGCCATGCCATGCCATGCCATGCCATGCCGTGCCATGCCGTGCCATGCCGTGCCGTGCCGTGCCATGCCATGCCATGCCATGCCATGCCGTGCCATGCCGTGCCATGCCGTGCCGTGCCATCAGACAGCCAAACATGCCACGCCATGCCGTGAGGGGGAATGGGAGTAGTGTTGCAGGAGGGGGGGTAAGAGCAGAGTCATAGACAGTGGCTGTTTGTTGCCACAGGTAGCGATAGGAAGCCATAGATGGTCGCAAAAGCAAGAGGTGGAAGATCCAGGACACGAGCAAAGCGGTGCTCGCTCGTTCGCTTGCTCCAGGACCCACTCCACCAACCAAGGTTAAAGCTTGCTGACTGATTCACGGCTATATGGAAACCACTTTCGAGAATTCTCATAAGTGATTTCGATGTAGCGCTCGTTCGCTCGCTCCAGGACCCACTCCACCAACCAAGGTCAAAGTTTGCTCACTGATTCGCACTCGGGACTTGCTGAGGAGCAGACTGGTATGTGCTGACGCTCCTGGAAAACGGCCTGGCAGGAAGTGCCTCCAGAAATTTCCCAAAGACTACGTGTCCCCTGACTCACCCGCGGTCGGAACTTGCTGACGGTGCCGACCTGCACGTCCTGCCGCACAGGGTAGCACGCATCCAAGTCCTCCTCCACCAGCCCTCCCTTGAAGAACCCCCGGAAGAACGACAGCGCCATCGCGAGCCCAGTGACGCTTGCGATTGGACCAAATCAGCGGCTTTTGGTTCCGTGCTGTGCCATCTTCCGTCGTCGTCACATGTCCCGTCGTCGCGTCATCATGTTCCGTCAAGTCATGACGTTTCGGATGGTGTCATGTCATGTCATTCGGAGCTGTAGCACGCCATTCGCTGTGGTAACATTCCGTGTTACGGCATGCGCTGCGATATCGTGTCGGCTCATGTCATGGTCGTGCGATTAAAGATTCCGGTATGTCTGTTTCCGCGACTCGTTTCCAAAAAGACGCACATTCGGTCCGGAAAGTATCATGCTAACGGTCAATTTTTTGCACGCAGTTGTAATCACGCGCCTTGCGAGGGCTACTGACTAGGTTTCTCGGAGTTCTAAAAAACAGAATTCATGATTCCTAGCGTGTATATTGTCTGAACTGGAATTTAGAGCCCTCCGTGGAACCAGAGGCATTGTTAGGTGTACCATCACGTAAGGACAAGCTTTAGGAACAACAGCCTACCACCTAAGCTGTTCCAGTCTTCTGGTCAAGTCATGACAAAGCCTAACTCCAGCCTAGCCACTATTTGGTCTGGTCTGCTGCCGCCTCCGCATTTGGTTCCTACTGGAGAGTGGCTGACTGGCAGTTTGTGGGAGATCCCTTGGATTCCCACTGGGCCTTGACCTGCCAGTGGCATTGGGATTGGTTGACTCCCCTGTTCTTGGGGTTGGCTCCAGTTTGTCAAGATATTGGCGAACAGAACACACACCGATACAATTCTGAAATAGCTATACTCTCCTTATGGACTTGTAAAGAAGCCTGGTTTCAATTCCCTTTTAACGATGATTCTGTGCTTGATATTGCACTCTTCGATAGGAAAGTTAATTGGTGCTGAGTTCATATCCTCGTGCAGTCACATGTTTCCGGCTAGGAATTGTGATGCAATCGCAGGCACTTGTTGGGGAACGCGAGCCGTCCTAATCGAGCCGCGCAAAACGCGTCTCGATAACACCGAGCCAATCTCCCCAGCCCCTTCCCGCAACCACGGGCAAAAATGTGATTTCCGCCTTCGAAATTCGCCCCTGTTCCGCTCCGCTCTCCCTCTTCCCTCAATCACAATCACGGGCGCAAGTTTCATAATTCCCCCCTGCTGTTCCCCCGACTTCCCCGGAGGCTCGGTGCTTACCCTACCTTCCGTTTGTGTGGCGTGGGCAAGGTTGTTGCGGCGTGACGACGACGCTTCGGTTCGGACCACCCTGGGCGCGCCTCGAGATGATCAGCCACGCTCCCTTCGCCCTTGTATTGACTCTACCCAACTCGCCCCATCGCGACGAATAAACGTCGTCTTACCTTATCCTTGCTCCATGACTCCCTCCTTGCGTTTAGTGTGTCCACTCCCCACCGCCACTCTGCTCTCGCTCGCTCTCTCCCATGCGCAATATTCTAGTCATCTGCGACCCAAATAGCCAAGCAGGCGTCATCTGCGAACGGTAGGAAGCGCTGTGCGCCTCTCACGGCGAACGTTAGGAAGCGCTGAATGCCTCTCACGCCATCATATCCCTCGTAACGTGAATGAGCTCAGATGTGAGCGCGACAAGGCCATGGCGCGAAAGTACAGCAGCACGGAACGGCATACGCACTATTAGAAGCTTGGAGTAATGTTGCGGCTAAGAATCAGCACACCTACCACGTGCAGTCTAGTCACTGGTCCAAGTACAGTAGGATCCCAGGTGGACATCTGACCAAACCTCTTACCAAACCTCTTTCCGAAGCTCTTCCCTGAGCCCTTTTTCCTTCAGCTTGCAAGAAGTGAAGCGTTGAGTGAAACCGCCCCAGCCCCTCCATCCAAACCTCTGCCCGAACCTCCTTACGAGCCTCTATTCGAACGTCTATCCGAACCTCCATCCTCCCTTACATCCTGAGTCCAACCGATCATCGCCAATCTCTTCTGCCGTCTCGGGACGGGCGAACGAATGGTGAGTGAAGCGAACCGTCGCGTATTCCATTGAGAGTGAAACGAGCCGTCACTTCCGCTTATTCCGCGCCAGGTGCCGCGGGAGATGCACGCGCTGCTCCGCATCCAGTAACCGCCAACCTCCCCCTTCTTTCCCCCGGACCCCTTCTTTCTCGCATTCCGCCCCTTCCCCCTTTCCCCTCCATAGGCGAGCGCCACTGGCGCGTCCCTCCCCCCGCGCGTGGCGCGCGAGGTGGCGCGGGAGCTGAAGGCGCTGCAGCAGAGCGCGCAGGACGGCATCCGGGTGACTGTCCACGACGACAGCATCGCGACCGTCCATGCCGAGATCGACGGCCCTGGTGAGCCCACGCAGGTTACCGAGCGAGTTAACCTGTACGTAACGGCCTTTATGGACCTTTCGTGATCCACACGCGTGTTCCAACCTTGGTCGTCTGTTTTGCCTTAAGCACATTGCGCTGAGGTCATGTGTTTTGCCTTCCCCCTTTCCTCCCCTTCCCCCATGTCCTCCCGCTGCGCGTGTGCGCAGAGGGCACGCCGTACGAGGGCGGCGTGTTCCGCATGAAGCTGCTGCTCGGGCGGGACTTCCCCAACGCCGCCCCCAAAGGTAACGCCGCCCCCAAAGGCAACGCCGCCCCCAAAGGTAACGCCGCCCCCAAAGGTAACGCCGCCCCAAAGGTAACGCTGCCCTTGAAGGTAACGCCGTCCCCAAAGGTAACGCCGCCCTTGAAGGTAACGCCACCCTTGAAGGTAACGCCGCCCCCAAAAGTAACGCCTCCCCTGTCACAACCCCACCCTCTCCTCTCCCCTTTTCCCCCTCCTCCCCCCCCCCCCACCCCCTCTCCCCCTTTTCTCTGCAGGCTTCTTCCTGACGCGCATTTTCCACCCCAACGTGGCCAAGAGCGGCGAGATCTGCGTGAGCGTGCTCAAGAAGGACTGGAAAGCCTCCCTTGGGCTCAAGCACGTGCTGCTGGTAAGCTGAAATGGTAGGGTTTTATTCTGATTTGATTGATTTTATCTCTAGAGGGACTGGAAGGCCACGCTCGGACTCAAGCACGTGCTGCTGGTGCGCTGGTCTAGTTCAATTTGGCTTTCCTCTATGAATGTTGCTGCTGGGATTCGAGCACGGTGCAACAAATGTGGGCTCCGCTGATTGATTGCTGCAGTGATTGTATCAGTTTTGAAAATGATGAAGAGTGCTCCTGACTCGATTGTATCCTGACTCGCTTGTTGCGCTCTGCCGATGCCTCGATGCTGCTTCTTGCAGGTCCTGTACTTTCTGTTATCATTTTTTCTTTCTAGTCCGTTTGGGCGAATGCAGGTGGTGCGCTGCCTGCTCATTGAACCTTATCCTGAGTCCGCTCTTAACGAGGATGCTGGAAAGCTGCTTCTGGAGGACTATGACGCGTACGCACGCCACGCCCGTCTGTTCACATCCATTCATGCCACCCCTGCCGCCTCCTCCGCCCTGACCTCTGCTGGGAAGGCCAAGCAGCAACCACAACAACCGCAACCGCAGCAGCAGCAGCATGAGAAGGCACGGCATGAGGTGGCGGATCACCCCAGCAAGAACGAGCACAGACCATGCATTCAACCAGCAACAGCAACTGCCTCGCTTGCCGATTCTGGCTCTGGTGCCGCCACTCCAGCTGCTCCTGCCACTCCCACTGGTGCTTCCGCTCCCGCCGCTGCTACTGCCTCTGCTGCTGGAGCTGCATCCACAGACGCCGACACCTCAGCGACTTCCCGAGAATCTAGCAGCAGCATTCTACCAGCTCCTCCTCCCAGCACTTCAACTGCTGCCTCATCTGGTGATCCTACTAGTGGCAAAATTGCAGCTGGGAGTGCCAGTATTACACCAGCCCATCACACGCCCCTTGCAACTAATCGGTCGCTTGCAAACTCTGACTCTAGACTGCAGGCAAAGGCTGGAAATGGTTCGGCAGCAGCAGCTGTGGAGGAGCCTGTGGCAGCATCGAGCATGGCTGGTGGTGTGGTGAAGGCTAAAGGGAAAGGGGAGAACACGGGCCGTGGCGGGACAGACAAGAAGGCTGATTTGAGGAAGAAGAGCCTACGGAGACTGTAGTTCTAGCGGTGGTGTTTGTATTCCCACGTTGTAAGTAGTGTTTTGCTGTTAATGTCAAGTGTCTGTAAACAGACTTGAATCCAAGGTGCTATTTAAAATTATAGACATCTTCTGTAAAAATCTGGAGTTACAACTGCAGCGTTGTGTATCACTCTGTAAATCGCACAGGGGTGATCTGATGCGTTCTGCGTCTGTTCATATCGTCCGTTGGATCACGATGAAGATCAGCACAAGCATCGAGCTTGTTGCATGATGTAGTGGATGTCGAATCAGAAACGTCATGCTGTTTCACAAAGTACGGCCATTTTCAGGTGCATGCAACTTAGTCGGGAAATACTGTTCAGGTGCATGCTATCCCGTCGTGTTTCTCCTTCTGTTGCCACTATTTGTACACATTCGCCACAAACAACACTGTTCGTCAGGGGATGCAACCCGCTCAACAGAAGCAGCACACGCAACACACGCAACACACAAAATCGGCCTCACAGGGAAGCCCGAAAAGAGGGGGAAAAAAAAAAAAAAAAAAAAAAAAAAGCTCCTAGGGAAACCTGGATTTTGTTCGGTAAGTATCAACCCAACACACGGGAACCCTCTGGTGTTTCGGGTTGATGTTCCGTAAGGCAGTGGAAGAAAAAATAATTATTTAAATGGAAACTAGGGAACCTGGACACACTTTACGGGAGTTTCAACCGTAAGCACGGGAACCGCCCTGGTGTTTAGAGTTGATTTCTCCCTAGTTGCATGCGTTTCCAATTGGGTATTATTATTTTTGCCCGTTTTTAGTCAGGTGTGTTGCGATATGTATCGACCTTGCTCGCAGTAAGGCTGCGACTGGTGTGGTTGGACGACGAGTTCGTGCAGGGGCTGCGCGAGTGGGTGTCAGTCGTATGGGTAGCATCCCCTGACAGAACAGCCTAGTATATCTCAACGGAATGTAGCGCGCGAGAATACGACAAGGTGGCATCGACAAAACGGCAAACTGTCCGGGGCAAAAAAACTAAACCCCAGATGGACCGGCATGCCATTCGGGAGCCTCAACCCTAAAATTTTAGGGTTTAGGCTCCCGAATGGCATGCCGGTCCATCTGAGGTTTAGTTTTTTTCTGCCCGGGTCAGGGTGACGCTCCCGAAAGCGTCACCCCCGAGCGTCACCCCAGGCAAAACGGAGCGTCACCCCCAATTCCGTTGAGAGATACAGTGTATTTCGTGGCGGAGGTGTACAAACAGAAACAACAGAGGGGAGAATCACGACGCGATAGCATGCACCTGAACAGTGTTTCCCGACTAAGTTGCATGCACCTGAAAATGGCCGCACGAAGTATCCCCAATTTGCGCCGTTCCGCAGGCATCTCGTTGGAGCAGCAGCCCCGCCCCCAGCAAAACACCCGAATCTGCGCCTTCTTCGTGGTGTGTCAGGCTTTTGGGGGAAGTGCATTCACAAGCCCGCGCTATTTGACGGATATTCTTGCTGCTCTATTCGGGCCGAGGGTGTCGCATCCTCAGCGAGGGAAAGGCCGCGAGGGGGGCCGATGCCCGCGCTATTTGACGGATATTCTTGCTGTCCTTGCCGGAACCGTTAGGCTCTACGTTCTTGGCGACACCCACGAGCTTCGCAAAAGTCTGTCGTTCGAGCTGGTGACTACTTGCAACGCAGGAGCGAAACAACCATTACGTCGTAAGTGGTATCTCGAATGTCGCACTCGCTTTTCGTCACTTGGTCGTTTGTTTGAAATGATGCGCGCTCGCGGGAATTCGCGGGCGAATCTTGTGGGCGGTGCTTCCTCCTCCGCCGCATGGCCCACCTCGGGATTGGTTGGGATAACCCTGGGCCGTGCTGAACCATTCCTGTGACTGCCAAGCACAAACAGGGGGCAGCCAGACACACAACTAAATTCAACCACTTTGCAACCATCCCAAACGAGCAGAACATGGCCATCTATCATCTCCATTCCAGTTCAGTGCACCCCAACCCAACTTGGGCAAACCAGCGGGCGCAACCCTTTCCACTCACCTCTCTCCCAATTCCATACCTCTTCGCCTGCACTGCCTTTCTCTCTACCATTGCCTCTCCGCTTCATTCTCAGGCTCACTCACCACGTTTTCTACGTGCTCGCGAATAGTTCAGGCCGCTAGTCACGGTCTCCATGGCGACGATTCTGTCTTCCTCGTTGACGGCTTTTCTTGTGATCGCTCGCTCGCTGCATTTTCCACGGTAGCGTTTCCTGCGGGGATTCGTCTTCTCCGTGCTGTCTAGAGAGCGATGAAGCAATAATGTCAGACTACTTCGTTCAGCAAGGTTAGTCTTCCAATGCGATCATCTGTAGTTCTTTTCCGCCGCTAGCTTTCATCGTCGATCCGATATCACGTTTCGCTCTCGCGCATCTCAGAGGATCCTTTCCCAATTTGCACGTGTTGCTTCCCGTTTCACTATCGCCAGATGCTCCCGTCGCAGGAACGCAATCTTCGTTCCTACGAACACCGTTCGTTTCTTCGTCCGTCCTCCGGCCACTGGTCGCGCGCGTCATAACGGTTTTCGCAAATGACGATATCCGCAAATGATTCGGTACGACTCTCGATGATTGAGATGCTTTTACGACTGCTTTCCCTATTGCTCCTCTGAGTTTCGACAACCGCGTTTCTCGTTCCCGACTTGTCGATATTGCCGCGTTGCTGCGTCGCTACTACTGTTCGTTATCCCTAATCCGTCTCTCCCCGTTATTGCTGGGTTCAGATGCGACTGAAGACGCTATTGAAATCGTCCGCACGTCGTCGCACGGCGAAATCGTCGTCTGCGCGTTGTCACACCGCGAGATCGTCGTCTGCGCGTCAACGGCGAAGTCGTCGTCCGCGCGTCGTCACACGGCGAAATCGACGTCCGCGCGTCGTCACACGGCGAAATCGTCGTCCGCGCGTCGTCACACGGCGACTTCGTCGTCTCCGCGTCGTCGCATGGCGAAATCGTCGTCCGCGCGACGTCGCATGGCGAAATCGATGTCCGCGCGTCCCATCGCATGGCGAATTGGTCGTCCGCGCGTCGTCGCTGGCGAAATGGTCGCACGGCTGTGCGTCTTGGTGGCTTGGGGGTGAGCAGGAGCTGCGGCCGCAGCAGCAGCTCTCTCGGTGATTCTTCAACCGCCAGCTAAGTGCCTTCTCCTCCCGCCACTCGATTGCTTTTCATGTCGTGCTTTCACCATGCATCATACTCGCCATGTCACTGCCCTTTGTCACACCGAAGAGACCTCCCTCCCCAAGGTAGCAGGTATCCTTTTTCTTGCTATAGCCTCAGGTATTGATTTGCGTTTGGTTCAGCTGGTACGAAGTCTCTTGGGTGTGCCACTGCGGAGTCCATTCATGCACGCATCGTTATTGCACTTGCTGCACTTTTTTCTCTCACTTCTCTCCTCATTGCTCCCCTTCACTCCCCCATATTTTCCCGCCCTTCTCCTTTCCTCTCTCTGTCCCGTTCTAAATCATTTTGATCCCAGCAGGTCACTCACACGGGAGTGGCAGTGAAGGGGGACATGGAGTGCACAGGCAGCGGCTCCTCTCCTCCCAACCCACCCACAGCTAAGTACCCCGCCCTTCCTGTCTTCTCCCAACCCTCGCACTGTGTTGCTTTGCTTGTCATGCTTGCACCATACATCACACTCCCTTCTTCGCTGCTCTTTGTCACACCCATTAGACCTCCCTCCCCCAAGGTATTAGGTCTTTTTACTTGGTACAGCCTCAGGTATTTGTTTTAGTTTGGTTCAGCTGGTACGAGGTCTCTTGGGTGTGCCACTGCAGCAGTCCTTTCATGCACTCATCATTATTGCACTTGCTGCACTCTCCACTTTCAATTGTCTTGACTTCTTTCCTCAACCCCTTCACTTCACCCCTCTTACTTTCGGCTGCCTTTCCTTTCCACCCTGCCCTCCCTCCCCTCCCTTCCCTGCCAGGCCTTCACAAGCCAGGGGGAGGGCAGCAGGCGAGCAGCAGGCGAGGGGAGCGCCAAGGCGGGCAGCAGGAGCGCGGGCAGCGGGGCAGCAGCGCCGGCCTCATCAACGGTTGAGGTTGCAGTATCGCCCCTGCCACCACACTCCACTCGAGCCCACTCCCCTTCAGGTTCAGGTTCAGGTTCAGGTGCAGGTGCAGGTTCAGGTTGGTAGCGGCTCTTGTGGGGTTGTGGTTGGCGTCACATGCACTGTCGTTTTTGCACTCACTCTGCTGCCAGTCGCTTCCTCACACTTGCCTCTTACTATCTCCCATCTCTTTCTTCCTTCTCCTCTGCCTCGCAGGTCCGTCGCTGCAAGCCCCGCTCGCCCTGCCCACTCTCCATTGAAGCACCCCCTCCGCCTGCACCACACAATCAGCTAAGTACCCGTTCCCCCATGCCTTCACCCTTGCCTGCCACCGTTTCTTTCGTTTCATCTGCTGTTGCACCGTCCACTTGAAACAATGCCACTGGTTGAGCGCGGTTCACATGCTACAGACCCCCACTCGTCTGGTAACCCCCTCAGGTGCAGGTAACCCTCTCAGGTGCAGGTACACCCCTCAGGTTTTTTTTCAGGTGCCCTTGGGTCTGCAGTTTGTTGCCGTGCCTTCACCAGTGGCTCCCCCCTTCCCTTGTGCTGGATTTCAAGTCACAGTTTCCCATTCAACTTGCTCCCACCACTGCGCTCTGACTAGCACTGTGTGTGCGTGGCCGTGCAGGGAGGAGGCACCTGGAGGAGGGCTGCTGCGGAGGGAGGCAGCTGGTGGTGCTGCAGCTGCCTTGAGCTCGCCCTCACGCTATCAGCTAAGTCACCCACTTCCATGCCCTCACCCTTGCCCGCCACATCATGGCTTGTTGCTTTCTTGCTGCCATTTCGTTTGCCGGTTGTGCTTTCGCCCTTCCCTTTGAAACAATGCCACTGGTTGAGCTCGGTTTACATGCCTCAGACCCCCTCTCTTCAGGTATCTCCTCAGGTGCAGGTAACCCTCTCAGGTGCAGGTCCCCCTTCAGGTTCAGGTCCCCCCTTC